AGCACATTGACAAAATATCCATTGATGTGCAGGAATATGTATAGGAAACACAAATTCAGCCAATTTTAGTTGAATCTCAGGCTTTTTGGTTCGATTTACTTATCTCTGACATAGGCTATATGGAAGCCTTTAAACTGAGTGTGTGGTACATCACTGTTTTCAGAATTCAAGACCTATAGACCCTGATGTCCAGTTTACTTGGCCATAGTTCAAGTCAAAATGTTCTGTCCTGAACCTTTTTTTTTAATAAACCACCTTAGGTCCCTATTCTGTAATTAGAGCTTGTAAAGTTATTTCACAAGAACAATAAACATACATTATTCTGATTTTTTGTTTTTGTTTGATTTGTTCATCGTTTTTCTTAGTGTTATAAAAAAGTGCACACAATTTTTAAAAAAATCCTTTATTTAATTTGCAAATAACTTTGCAATGCTTTGTACCAGAATCACAATTGTAGTGTCACCATAAACATGGGAAAGCTGTAGAATAAAATGTTTGCTTTTTATCTAAAGTAACACTATTCTTTTTAAGGTGACAATTAACTCAACTAAAGTTAATTCTTAAAAATGCATTCAAATGTCTTAACTATTAACAAAAATTTAACTTATTTGTGCATAACTCAGCTGTAGATCCTCAAACCATCTCTGAATTGGTGCTGACACTGTCCTTCCTTCTGGAGGGTGGCTACTTTTGTTCCCATGGTCCCTGTGTGTGTTGTAAAGTAGCCTTCGGTCCAAGCTCACTCCCATGAAAGACTACATCTCAAGTTTAGTTTATTCATTTGTATTGAGATTGTAGTTCATCATGGGAGTGAGCTTGGAGCGGTGGCTACTTTACAACACACATTTAACCTACACTGATCAAGGTAGTGTTTTTTTCTTATTTTGTCTGTGGATTGGGTTAAAAATATGCTTGGAAAGCAATATTCTTGAAAGAAAGCCTTGTTTATTCTAAATTAAAAAACATACATGTTTTACTTTGTTATCTTAAGAAATTACTAAGTTATCACTGAATAAACAGGCCCATAGCAGAAATTGAAAATTTACTATGGTCCATTGTTGTTCTGCTATGGGTCTGTTTGTTCAGTGATAAATTATAGTACAGATGCAAAAACTGAAGTGGTTAAGAGAGTCCAGTGGTTACTAAATAATAATTGAGTACAAACACCTCATTTCTGTCTACTTTCCTACATATTTCTGTTGGGTATGTATACACTGCATCTAAAAGTCAATAAATGGATGGTGCATCAGCGAATAATCTTGTAGGCAATTTTGTGACAAGAAATTTAACTCCTGCCGAAATGCTTAATGTTATTTTGGTTAGAGTAGGGAAGGGTTTGTTAGGTTTTATTACTCTCTGTCCCTGTTGGGGGATTTCCCCCTCACCTCCTGTTATAACAACAAGTAATAGAAAATCTCTTCAAGGGGTACACAGACAAAATCACATTTTTTAGCAGTGAGGTTAAAGGTAGCACTTCTGGTGATGGTGTTATTGCGGTCTATATCTATCTGCCTGTGTTGGCAATGCCCAAACCCCCCATTTTTTGTATGGGCATCACAGGGACAGGGAAAGAAAATCTCCCAAATGAGGACAGCATTAAAAGCTTGAGAGAGGCTCAGAATCTTATTCACTTTATCAAAAACTAAAAAAAAAAAGGAAACGTTATGGCTGGAATTAGTACATGGATGTTAACGGTCTCTGTACAGATTGCTCTGCATAAGGTTGTATAATTCACTTCATTTTTGAATGAAGAAACAAGATGGTTTGGTTGGAACATGAATTGCAGCATGTCTTAATCACTAATTAACTAAGCTATATTGGAGAGCACTCAAGAAAAAGGTCTAAGGGGATAAAGATGATTATTTTATTTTGTATTTGGAAACAGATGGATTGCATGCTTTTTAGTTCACAAATCCCTTCAGTATGGATCATTCGGTTGTATGCGTTGTATAATACTTCTGCATCTGTTTTGTGCATGTTTACTGAATGGCAGACATCAGACCAGGCAACAACATTAACCCTTTAACAACCAAGATGTGCCCTAGATGACCCCTTTAAAAGCTTAAACAAGACTAGAGCTTTGGGTGGAAAAAGTATACATTCCTAGGTCCACATCTTAACTGGTAGCCAGACCTCATTATATATTCTCAGCTGTACATAGGCCTTTTTAGTTATGACCTGACTGATGCTCAGTCACTGTCACTCTCTGCTGTGGAAACTAGCTGTTGTGAGAAAAAGATGTCTGCTGACAGAACACTTAAAAGATACAAGAGCGGCATGTTTGTTTTGGGAAACCCATAAGGGGCACTTTGATCTGAGTTTAGTTTTGGTATTGTGTACGAGTACTGATATTTTTTACGAGTACCAATAACGGCATACCGAGGTAGCGTTGCTTTCCGGCCAATCAGTAAGCCGGGCGGTGGGTCATGACCTGCCGCCCAGCTTTCTGATTGCCTGGGAAGCCGGTGTTCTGTCAACAGAACACTGACTTTATGCTCCCTCGCAACACTGTGAGGCAGCCTAGCTTCCTGACTTAACCTTCCTAGCCAATCATGGAGGTGGGGCATGACCTGCCACCCAGCTTCCTGACTGTTTAGGAGGCCAGGCTGCCTCACAGTATCGCTAGGCAGCGTGAAACCACCTTCCTAGCCAATCAGGAGGCCGGGTCATGACTTGCTGCTCGGCTTCCTGATTGGTCAGGAAGCCGACTCCATGCTCTCTTGTGGCACTGCTGGTCAGAGAGAATGTCCCTCTGACTGGCAGTTCCACTATCTGGGTAAGAATCGGAGCATTTGGGCAAGTATGAGCACTCCCCAAAATGCTCAGTATTGGCACTGAAACCAGTATCAGTACCGGTGCATCCCTAGTTTAATAAGTAGCTCAGATGAGCATATGTCTTGTTTGTTTTATGATATGCACTTGATGTAAAAAGCCCTTCTGCATTGAAACTGTGTTTGTTTGGTAAATAAAATTGCAGGACAAGGTGTCCATGTCTTGTGCATGGTTTGCTGTTAATACCATTACTCCACAGAACTTGTGTACACTTGATGTGTTTAGATATACAAAAAAACTGTGATGCTGATTGATTGTAATTGATGAATGATAATATAAGAAACTGATTATGTGTTTGCAATAGACACATCGCCTCCTATTCCCTGAGGAAACATATCATCAAAATGCGTCTAGAGCCAATCAACGCATGCCACAGTGGAGAAATGATCTATAAATATTATATCCACATGAATGGACTGCATTATACAAAAGCAAAAATAAGTATTTATGGGTTTAAAGATATGAACACTATCTCTATAGTGTACATATGACAGCGGGAGGCAGAATTGAAGTCTGATGCCTCATAAAATCCCACAATACTAAGGTATATGGTGATTGTGTTCTTAATGCCAATTGAACTTGTCCCTCATAAAACTTGGGGAGGATATGGACAGCTCCTTAAACAAACAGACATTTATTTTCAAAAAGAAAATGGGGGAGCTTGTAAAAAGGCTTATATTGGCACACACTCATCAGCAACAGTGGAATGTTGTCCATCAGGAGACAAATACCGCAAGAGGTGACCCCCCGACAGATGAAACCACCCAATAGATGTAACAGCTGACTGTAGCCAACCAGGCCTGCTTAGAGGGATAACAGCAAGTGAACCTGTCTCTATAGCCATAGATACAGATCCTGGCAGATGGTGGCACAGGGTGCGACAACTTGTGCAGAGTGCTTTCCGAAATTGTTCTTGGAGGATAATGTTTAAACCCACCTCAGCATCTTTGAGAGAGTCACTGAATGTGAGAAGCTACCCAACGAGTAGTGGGATGATGTGCTAGCACTCTTTTTAACAGGGGAGCCCATAAAGGCCTACTTTGACTTGTACTTAAGGATGCCAAGCTGTATCCTTTAATTCAAACAAGAAATCTTAGCCAGGCTTGGGGTTACCATAACCATCCCCAGCATGTGTTCACATTGGAATATAACCCTGGAAAGCTGGCGAGGTTCCAGGTGTATGATTTGTTCCACCTTACAAAGCAAGTAGTTGGATTCAGAGTTGCATAAGCTTGCTCACATTTAGTGATGGGCTTGGGCGTGTTCGCAGTTTCACGTGCCGAGCCCGCCAGAAAGCTGATCACAGGTACCGAGACATTATCCTGGTCCGCAGCTCCAGAGATCGGGAAATGTCTCAGTACCTGTAATTGGCGCTGCCAGCTTGCTGGCGGGCTCGGCACGTGGAGCTGCGAACACGCCTGAGCCCATCACTACTCACATTATGGAGAAAGCCTTGCCTGTAAAGATACATTTTCACATTAGGCAGACAGATCCTAAAAGTGGGGATGAGTTGGATGTGCACTCCAAGCTGGTAACCTCTGGCAACATAAAACATCACCCTTGGGAAAGACTGTTCATTTTCATCAAAGGGGTAAACTGGGTGAGACACCAATGGATGCCAGATATGAATTACCTCCTAGCGCAGATGGAGTTTCTTACTTGAGAGAGACATGGCATATTTGGTTCTAAGAACTTGGCCATCCTCACACACATCCTATGGGCCCTGCATTGGACATGATGATGTCAGCAGTCCTCTGACCACTGGCGCAGAGGGGGGAAGAGGCTACGGGCGCAGTTCTTGGATTGGATTCAGGTAGGTAAAAGTTCTTTACACCATACTGCTAGATGTAAACAAGCAAGTAATCTTTGCAATGAAGAGGCTTATATTAGGACCCAGTGCAAGGGTCCTTTTTTTTAACCTGAAAATAGGCTTTAACCCTTGCAGTGGGAGGGGGGGAGGTACCCCCACTGAAAGGTAAGTTTTGTGGATTACCCAAAGATAGACTTTAAAGCATATTTCCACTTTTGCAGCGAAATTGGATTGACACCTATTTTATATTTGTTACATGTTTCCATTCACAGTGTAAAAATAAAAACATGAAAACATGATTATTTGCAGGTTAAATTGCTTTTTACTTGCTAACATTTCTACTTGGCTTCTCCTGTTAGGAGGGGTGGTGAGTGGTTTGTGTTAACCCTGTCTGTACTGTGTGATTTCATTATATTTGTAAAGTCGATTTGAACACTGCATGTCCTAACAAAGGCGTCAAGGATTAAAAGCCTGGCTTTTGCATTGAAATTAAATGAGAGAAACAAATAAATTTCTGCCCTCAGTCTTTCTATAAGGACAGGTCACTGTGAAGGAGTTCTGAAAAACGTGGATTTAGCCATTTTGCTTGCTGCAATAAAACTTGTAGAAGGTAAGAAATATTTTTTAAAGCATTATTTTTAAGGATGCTGTGTGAATGGGAACACATAACAAACATATAGAGGGTTTTTTTCTGAAATGTGACTGCAAAAGTGGAAATACACTTTAAAGCAAACTTTCTATTGCTGCTTCATCTCTGTTGTTTCTGCAGGCGTTGGTATAAACATGTGAAACAAGTTCAAATGACATAGTAGAAAGGGCTTGTCACCATGAAGTCGGTCATAAACTGATGAATACTGATCATGACTTTCCCCCTAGATTCAAATAGCTTAGTGTTGTTTATATTCCAAGAAGAAATGTGTTTCTCTTTTTTCTTTAATACCCCATGGCCTGCTTCCAGCAACAATGAATATGGGAAACATTTACCTGCATAGGCTTATCATACCATCGATTTCCTCCGTTTTTGTTGTAACCTCCACCATGAAGAAGTTGAAGAGCTCTATTGGTTTCATTCAGCTCTACACCTGTTGGTGCGTCTAAGCACACTAGACACATACATCTTTCTATCATATCAAGAGAGTCCCGGTTTGTAGAGTCTGTGAAATGTAGGTGAAATATTGAGCGTTAAAATGTGGCAGAGCATGAAGTCAGCACTTGAAGAAATCAACATAATATCATGCATTATTAAGGATATTTAATATTTCTCTTTTCCAAGGCTACATTCACACTGCCACTTGTGTTTTTGTGCTCCATATGCAGAGAAAAATCTGTCAGGCTAGATGCTGTTTTTATGCTTTTAGATGTGTTAAATGGCACGCGTTTATGTACGTTTACATGCATATGCGGTTAGATGCATTTGCTACCAAAGCTTAGCATTAAATCGCATTTGCATTCGTTTACATGCATTTTGGTGTGTTTAGAAGTTAAATTTGATACCTGGACGCACCTGACTTTTATTTTTTCTAAACACAGTTAAACTGACTTTAAATATGAGCATCTAAACAGAGAATGTGTGAATAGATCCATTGGAAATCATTAGATGCGGATATACATTGCTCAGCATAAATGAGTACACCCCTTTGAACAGTAAGATTTTAATCATCTCAGTGAACACAAGAACAATTTCCAAAATTTTGACAAAACCGAGTTTTATAGAACATTTGTTTAGCTCATTACATGAATTAAGGTTAATAATATAACTTAGATTACAGAATCTTCAGTTTTACTCAAATTAGGTGAATCAAAAATGAATACACCCCACAACAAAAACTACTACACCTAGTATATTGTGTGACCTCTATGATTTGCAAGGACAGCACCAAGTCTTCTAGGCATTGAATGAACAAGTTGGATGCATACTGCAACATCTATCTTTTTCCATTCTTCATGAATGACCTCTTTTAGAGCCTGGATGCTAGATGGAGAGTGATGTCCAACTTGTCTCTTCAGAATACCCCATAGGTGTTCGATTGGGTTCAGATCAGGAGACATACTTGGCCACTGAATCACTTTCACCCTATTTTTCTCCAGAAAAGCAACAGTGGCCTTAGATGTGTTTTGGATCATTGTCATGTTGGAAAAGTGACAACGACCAAGGACACCGAGTGATGGCAGCATCTTCTCTTTCAATATAGAGCAGTACATCTGTGAATTCATGATACCATCAATGAAATGCAGCTCCCCGACGCCAGCAGCACTCATGCAGCCCCACAGAAGAAAACTGCCACCACCATGTTTCACTGTAGACACCATGCATTTTTCTTTGTACTCCTCACCTTTGCAATGCCATACAGGTTTGAAGGCATCAGTTCCAAAAACATTGATCTCTCATCACTCCAGAGTACAGAGTCCCAGTAGTCTTCTTTTTCAGCATGGGTTTTAGGAGAGGCTTCCTTCATGGACGACACCCATGCATGCCATTCCTCTTCAGTGTACGCTGTATTGTGTCACGGGAAACAATCACCCCAGTTTGACTTTCTACTTCTTTAGCTAACTGCAGTGAACTTGCATGGTGATTTTCTCAGGCCTTGTGACATTTCTCTTCCATGTGGTGCCATTGCTGGCAGCATGAAATGTGAATTGGTTAAGTAACGCCCTTTTATAATGGACACGACACCTGTTTAATGAATAATTATACTCACCTGTAGTTACATTCTTGTTAATTAGGATTTTGTTGTCTAAAATGTAGCTTTGCTCCTATGACTTTCCCACTAAATTTGGGCAGGGCCAACAGGCCGGTCACATCCGGGAGGCGGTTAAAGAATGCATTTTTAACTCCTGAGTTTAGTGCCACAAGTACCTCAACTATTACCACAAATGCAGTTTATTTGTGTATCACTCAGCTGTAGATCCTCAAATCATCTCTGAATTCATGCTGGCTACTTTTGTTCCCCATGGTTCCTGTGTGTTATAAAGTAGCCACCGATCCAAGCTCACTTTAAAATGTAATGCCTGAGTTTTGTGTTACTTTAAGCATTTATGCATGTCTACTGCAAAGGGTAGTACATAGTGCATTTCCTAGCATGAAACATAGGGGAACTTAGTAATGGCAGAGTCCTATTTCTGTGTGACAAGGTTTACTTCAATGACGACATCAAGTGGTGCTCAAACTCACTTTAGAGCTGTCCATAACCTTCCAACATTGATGTGTGGTGTCTAGTAGTATAATTTAGATTTGCAGTTAGCGGCTGGCTGTCACTGACACAGCTCCGCAGTGGCTGTGAGGGGAAATGACAGCCAGCACCCCTACATGCCATAGCGACCCAGGCGGCCCTGGCCGGGCCCCCCTGTGTCCGGGCCCCATAGTGTCCGCCTGGGTCGCTATGGCGATTGTTACGCCACTGTCAGTGGGTCAGTCAACACTAACAGGGTTATTCAGTAAAAGGTAAAGTGTTTGGAGAAGGCAGGAGAAGTGAACAATCTAGGACAACATAGCTGATTTGGAACAATTCTCCAATTCAGCTCACTTTCCAGTTCAGCTGTGTTGTCCTAGATTGTTCACTTCTTCTGCCTTCTCCAAACTCTTCACCTTTTAGTTAATAACCCTGTAAGTGAATTTAAACATGATAGGGATAAACAAAAAAGGGCAGACTCGATGGTCTATGTGGTGCTTTTTGCCATCACTCTTTTATGTTCCTATAATAGGGTAGTTGTTTACATTAGCCATTTGCCTGACAATTATTAAAAAGGAAAAATACACAAAATATGTATTTATTACAATACATTTTCTCTTATGATATCTAGCACAGTTTCATCTTAAACAGTCATAAATATCTTGCATTATTACCCATAACATTGGTGCAGTTTTTCATTTACTGCTTCATCTGCTGTTAGGTACTTTTGCAGACTGGAATTATTAGATCATTAGGCTAGCATGCTCAACAGATATAGTATTGATCAGTTAGCAAATTCACCAGACAAATATAGTATTGATCAGTTAATAAATTATTGCTCTAGTTCAGTTTTGCTTTGTTTTTGCATCAATCCACAAACTTATTATTAGATTCAATTTGCTGTAACTAACTGGGTTATTACAAATGCTTAGTATTTTGTAATTAATATATATTATATTTTTAAACCAAATATCAAGAGTTCCATATACAAATAAGGAGTATTTGTATTGGGTATTGTTGGATCTGAGAGCAATTTGTGTGTCAGAATATTCCTGAACTACTGAGGCTCTCCGCTCTAATTGATGCCAAAGGTGTTCTATCGAGCAGGGCCGTCCCGGGGCTAGGGTGTCACCCGGAGCGGAGACCGGGTGACACCCCACCGTGACATCATCGTGCATTAATGACGCCTGTCGGCAGCCATCTTGAGGTTGGACGCCGGTAGAGAGAGGAGGGGGACGTTCACCCGGCAGTATGAGGTATGCCACCGGGTCCCCTCTATCCTGACACTGTGGGCTCTTGGTCCATGACCGAGTGCCCGACTTTTCATTGGGGGTGACAGCAAAATGACTGCTAGTCATTTTGCTGTCACCCCTCCAATGGTGGCACCTGGGTGCGGGCCGCACCCCCCTTGTGACAGGTTGAGGTTAGGACTCTGTGCAGGCCAGTCAAGTTCCTCCACCTCAAACTCGCTCATCCATGTCTTTATGGACCATGTTGGAACAGTGGAACAGGAAGGGGCCATCCCCAAACTGTTTCCACAAGGTTGGGAGTATGAAATTGTCCAAAATGTCTTGGTATGCTGATGCCCTAAGAGTTCCCTTCACTGGAACTAAGGGGCCAATCCACTTAGGGACTGTAATATACAGGGGTACAGGTAATATACAGGGGTACAGGTAATATTCAGGGGTACAGGTACTCCTAGAAGGAGATCCTAATAGGTTGGACTTGATGGACTAATGTCTTTATTCAACCTCAAATACTATGTAACTATGTAAAAAGCAACCCTGAAAAGCAACCCCACACCATAACCCCCCTCCACCAAACTTTATACTTGGCACAATGCAGTCAGGCAAGTACCGTTCTCCTGGCAACCACCAAACCCAGGCACATCCATCGGATTGCCAGACAGAGAAGTGTGATTCATCACTCCAGAGAATACGTCTCCACTTCTCTAGAGTCCAGTGGTGGCATGCTTTACACCACTGCATCCGACGCTTTGCATTGCACTTGGTGATGTAAGGCTTGGATGCAGTTGCTCGGTCATGGAAACCCATTCCATGAAGCTCTCTATGCACTGTTGTTGTGCCAATCTGAAGGCCACACAAAGTTTGGAGGTCTGTAGCTATTGACTCTGCAGACAGCTGGCGACTTCTGCGCACTGTGCGCTTCAGCTTGCGCTGACCCTGCTCTGGTATTTTACGTGGCCTACCACTTCGTGGCTGAGTTGCTGTTGTTCCCAGTTGCTTCCACTTTGTTATAATACCACTAACAGTTGTCAATGGAATATTTAGTAGCAAGGAAATTTCATGGATGGACTTATTGCACGGTACCACGCTTGAATTCACTGTGCTCTTGAGAGCGACCCATTCTTTCACAAATGTTTGTAGAAGCAGTCTGCATGCCTAGGTGCTTGATTTTATACATCTGTGGCCATGGAGGTGATTGAAACACCTTAATGATTGGAGGGGTGTCCCAATACTTTTGGCAATATAGTGTATCTTTGGGACTGGCTACATTTTTCACATACCATGCAATCCTCAGGTGATTTAGAGATCATCCGCAGTTAACCCCTTAAGGACAAATGCCTTTTTTTCATTTTTGTTTACATGTTATAATCCACATTTTAGGCCTGAAAATTACTTGAAGCCCCCAAACATTAAATATTTTCTGAAAGCCAAGACCCTATAGAATACTATGGTGGCAGTTGCAAATGTCGTTATGTTGCACGACATTAGCACAGCTTATTATCAACCCCAAAAATGTTGTGAAAAATGCACTTAAATTTTTTGTAAAATATAAAAGATGAGGTTGCAATGAGTAAATAGATACCCAACATGCCCAGGTTAAAAATAGTGTGCGTCCGTGACCCTAAAATAGTGTGCGTCAGTACCCTAAAAAGTCCATACACGACGTTTTAAAAGCCCCTACAGGTCATCAGTTTAGAGATACACTTAAAGATTGGCCCTAGAATTATTGCTCTCACT